GGAGTTTAAAATTTCTGAAGATAGTCAGCAGATCTCACATTTATAGTATGCATATGACACTTTGTTATTTTGTAATGCTTCTGTGGATCATATTTTAAATATTAGAAGGATGTTGTTGTGTTGTGAAGTGAGGCTGGGGTTGAAGGTGAATTTTGGTATGACATCAATTATAGGTGTAGCGTGTGAGAGTGGTATTGTACATCAGCTAGCTAATATTTTGGATGTAAAGTTGAAGTTTTTCCTGTGAGATATTTGAGACTACCTATTTTCTGACTATAGTTTTCTAAGGTATGAGATCCTGCTTTGGAGATGATGCATTCGAAGCTTGACCTTTGGATGTCAAAAAACTTATCATTTCGGGGTAGGACAATACTAATTAAGTCTTCTCTCTCTAATTTATCTGTGTTTCAAATGTCTCTACTTTTAATGTCAACTTTAGTGTCTAAGGCAATTGAAAATTTGATGAGATGTTTTCTATGGGGATCATGTGAATTTATGAAGAAATAACATTTGGTGAGTTGGGACAGAGTGTGGACTCTAGTTTTTGAAGGGGGTCTGGGTGTTAGGAGAGTTAAATATGCAAATCAAGCATTATTGTCAAAATGGTGGTGGAAGTGATGAATGGTGAATGGGCGTTATGGAAAGAGGTTATCAGGTTCAAATATGATGAAGATAGGTTTAATTTGTGGTTGGCTTCTAGCCGAAATGCTAGGTCTCATTCGATGATATGAAAATGTATGATGCAAAAAACCTCATTCTGATATGGGAAGCAAATAGGAGAGGCACAACTCAGGTATTCATTCCCATTGACTTTTAGTGCAGTTGCTAACCCTTTGGCTAAAGTCAGTGATTTCGTGTTAAAGGGAGAGGGGGATGTGAAATATTACTTGTGTTTATAATAGGATGAGCGATGATTTTATCCAACAAATGTCTAAGTTACTTCAACTGCTGTAAAATGTTAAGTTGCATCGAGGATTCCATAATGAGATGGTGTGGGAGGCTGAGACGGATGGCATTTCTGTGAAATCAGCATACAGTTTGTTATTCCATATTAGGATTCGGTGGAACCAAAATTCATTGTGGAGAATTTGTGCATGGAAAGTTCCACTTAAAGTTAAGATTTTTCTTTGGATGTTGTCTCAAAGAAAATGTTTGACTGTTGACAAGCTTATTAAGAGAGGTAGGATCATTATAAATGTATACATTTTATGTAAACAAAGTGATGAGATGGTGATCACATCTTCTTACATTGTCCATTCACTCATGATATATGGTGTTGATTTTTTTATTAGCTTGTTGTTATTGACCATCTACCTTGTAGTCATACTAATATCATAGATCAGATGTCCTTTGACGAACTCTTAAAGTGGGTTTGCATATTTCTCATATAGGAAAGGTTGCGGTGTTGTGGGAGATTTGGTTGGAGAGGAATCGATGTGTTTTTAAGGGGTCGGTTTTTGAAAGTGGTTGGGTAAAGAAGAGATTACAACATCGATGTGGAGCTAATTCTCGGTTACCAAGGAAGGATTTAGGGGTATCTAAGGTAGATATGGAGATTAATGTTAGACGTTTGATATTATAGACGATGATTAAAGTGCGACATAAAGGGCGATAAAATGTGCCTACTTTGGGTAGCCTCAAACTAAATTGTAACTGGAGTTTGATAAGTAATTCGAGACCAACACTAGTTGGGGGTTTGGTAAGGAACAATCTTGGTGTATGTATTTTTTGTTTTGCAGGTCCGAAGTGTCAAAACAGTAAATGAAGCCAAGATATTGGCTATGGTCCAAGGGTTGAATTTTTTTAAAGAGCGGGGATTGCAAGAGAGTTGTGTAGTTGAATGTGGTGAATGGTGTAATGGGGTTTCTAAACCACCGTAGAAGCTTAGATCCACATGGCTGGAAGTTATGGATTTGACCTGAGATATGTCAGTTACCTTCCAACATGTCTATATAGAAGGGAATGAGATAGCTGATGCCTTAGCCAAGAGGAGGGGGGGGGGGGGGGGGGATGCAGGAGTTGGTTATTTTGGATGTTATTCTCTTTTGATCTGTTTGTAGTCTTTACTGATTAATAAAATTACGAAACATTATAAAAATAAATAATAAAAAAAAAAAGATAGACGGCATAGATTACTTCAACCTTTAGTAGGTTGCACCCCTATATAAATGTTTTTCTATAATCTTAGAAATTAAGTTTCAAAGGGCGTTGTTAGCACTATTGAGTGTAAAGGTCTGGGTGGCAATGGACCAGGGCCCAACTTGGGACTTGAAGGGTAGACCTGACACAGGTCAGGGTATGGGTCCAAAAATTGGAACTGAGGGTCAGGTCTGGGTCCAAATCTTGGACCCAAACACCATTTGGGTCCAGGTCCAATTGGGTCCGGGTCCAAGTCCAACACATATTTTCTGGTCCTAATTTATGAAAAATAGTTCAATATATTTAAATGCATATATATTTTAATTTTTGGGTCGGGTCTGGGTCTGGGTCCGGGTCCCATATTTTATTTTCGGGTCTAGGTCTTGTGACTTTGGGTCCGGGTCTGGTTCTTGTGACTTTGGGTCCGGGTCCGGTCCCGGACCTGACCTAACCGATCGCCACCCCTGAAAGAGAGGGAGCTAGAGGGCTAATAACAATGGACGAAGTTTGTTCAATATTTTTGGAGTGTATGTATTTTTTATTTTTCTTTGGAGGCTGAGAGAAGATGCATATGCATGTAAATTTTGAGGTGTACCATAGTCCACATCTTTTTCAAAAGGAAATTCAAGCACTATGTGTCGTTCATATTTAAATCCTTCAATTTGGATCGCAAGACTTATAACATTCCTAACGCTTGCAGGTTTTCAGTTTTATTTTCTGTATTAAAATGGTGCACTTTACACAAGTTGCTACCCATTTGTTAATGGAAAATTGTTTCATGTGGGCTGGATCGCATTTCTACATATGTGGTCCTAAAAGTATAAAGCATCCATCTTAAAGATGGATGCAAGTAGGTTTTCCATCTAAAAACAATAGAAACTAACGGTCCAAATGTTTTCTTACTAGAATTATTATTTTTAGTTTTTAAAATTTATTTATTTTTTCATATTCATGATCTCCATGTTAGAGATTCCATGTCCTTGAAAATTAAGTCTTAAAATCCATCTCAAAAATAGATTTATTAATAGGCTCGCATTTCTACATATGATCGGATCCTTTTTAAATTTTTATATACGTCTTATCAAAGTAAGATGTATGTCCCAATCCTGTCGGAAGATTGAGTTTTGGCACTAGAAAAAAAATTACGAACGTATCCCCCAAATTCTTGTTATTTAAAAATCCTCCTTAAAATTCTAATTTTCCCTTTATATCATTTTTTATTGAAAAAAGTTTATATAAGGTTGAAACCTTATACTGTTAAAGTAAGGTGCATCTAAAAAATCCTCTAGTGGACAGTGTTCCGGCATAGGATAACCCTCCAACTGATCATCTTGACTTTGAGATGAATGGACATGAAGAAAAAAAATTTAAGGTCATGAGATGGGTTAAGGAAAGTTTAAAGTCATCACCCTTCTTAGACCATCTTATATTATATAATCTCATTAATTAATTATCTGAAGTGGACTTTAGTTGCCATCTTATCAATACTATTTTTTTTTTTTAAAGTAATAATCCTCTTTCTCTTGGTTATTTGGCATAAAGCAATCACTTTAATTCACTTCAATGCTTTTTTGTTTTGATACCCAGAGAATAATCTCTCTTTATGAAGA